AGCATATACTCCAACCACCTGCTGTGTGGCTTGACCTAATTTTCTTCTTCCCTTCTAGCCTGTCCATGTTCTCCTGATTCACCTCCTCCTACTTCCACGCCTGTTCACTCCAATGTAAAGTAGGCAGTTTAGCTGTCTCTTTGTACCTTGGCTTTATCCGACCCTTGCTCTCAGTGTCTCATTCTTCTGTGTCCCTCTTTTCCTCCTTCACTTAGACATTTTCGTTACCATAAATGATTTCATTCAAAGAATTCTCAGAATTCTCATAGCAGCTTTTAGAATATTAATTTTTCTCACTTTTATGCATTTTGGATCAGGTTCTCTTATTCATTTTGATTTTTTTTCTTCACGTCTTCCCCCAATTTCTTCCCCCTTTTTCTTTCCCTCTTCCTACATACAGACGCCATGTAACTCTATTCTCAAGCTTTTTTCCTCCAAAAGCAGCTGAGAGTTGTCCTTGAAAGAAAATGGTGGAATTCCTCCATGTGATAATATGTGTGGATGAGCTGCTGGTGATGAACTGAGCCTCGGGGCTTTGTAGAAGGGGATGCAGTTGGGCACTTTCTCCCTGCCCCTACTCCAAGCACTCTTTCTTAGTCCTGTACCAACAGCCTGAAACCCTACAACTATTCTTTTGAGATTTGTTTTGTAGTCTTTCTTTAAGGCTTATTTTCCACCCTGATCTTTAAATTACTGTGTAAAGAAAAAGAAATGTGAAGTACAGGTCTGATTAGGCAGACTTCTCAAAAGGATAGGAAAGATGAAACAAAAACTTCCTAATTCTCACAGGCTACTGTTACACAGACATGGCAAAAACACATTTAACCTTTTTTGTTAAAAGAAGAAGAAGGAAAAGGAGAAGGAGATGGAAGAAGGAGGAAAAAGAAGAAAGAAGAGAAGAAAGAAGAAGCCTGCCTGCCTTATTTTTTTTTCCTTATTATTCTCTTTGAAAATTCTGATCCTTTTCCCAGTTCTTCCCAACATTGCAGTGTTCAGAAATACAGTTTCTATTTAACACGGAGGGTAACTTCCTCTCTCTTGTAGCTATGGCACTGTTTAAATCTTCATACTGTTTACTGTTGGACCTCTTAACCTGGCTGTTTCTTTTTGTAGTCCTGGATTTGACAGCCGGCCCTCACATTCTTTTGGAATTCTACTCAGAGCTGCCTCTCTGCAGGAGTCTTCTTGTGATGTGTTCCCTCAGCAGCATGAGATGCTACTGTTCTTAGTGCCTAAATTCCAGTATTATTTTCTTCTCAGGGCTCATTTCTGGGTGATTAACAGCTTTTAGAAAATAGATCACTGTCTTTATTCTCCCAAGATTTGAGTAGGCACGCTTCAAAAAGTATCTTCCTGAAGGAATGAAAGAGAAATATGAAGTCAAAAGAGTGAACAGAACTTCTGGAGATTGCCTGTGGTATAAGCTTCCTACGCTGGGCTGTTCTCTACAAAGCCATCCTAGCAGAAGCTAGGTGAAATGAGAAGAATGTGGGGAGTGGTGGAAGAACACTAGGCTGGAAAGAAAAGACAGATTTAAATTCCTGTTCTGCCATTTCCTAACTGCGTGAACATGTGCAGGTCACTGAAGTTTTCTGAACCTTGGTCAGTTTGTTCTTCTGTAGAATGGAGAGAATGTGACCTACTTCTCCAGCATGGCAGATTCCAGCTAATTAGACATTTTTGTGCAAAATATAAAAGCGCAGTTGCACTGTGTGGACATAACCCCAAGTGCACACAGCTGAGTGAGAGGTACACAAGCTAGATTTCAGCCTACACTTGCCCTTCAGCTGGGCACCCTGGTACAGTGCATAACCTACAATCCTATACGGCAACCAAGTTCCTGAAGTCCACCATCTTCTTCCATTAGGAGCAAGCCTCAGGAAGGGGTCAGGCAGGGGTACAGAAATGGGGCCCACTTGGTTGCTTAGCAGGAACTTAGCACCGTAAGAAGATGAGAAGATGCCTCCCTTTTTACCTTCTATTTAATCTTGCTTTTACACTGATTCCTCCTCTGTATTTGCTTTTTTTTTTTTTTTTTTTTTGAGACAGAGTCTCACTCTGTCGCCAGGCTGGAGTGCAGTGGTGAAATCTCAGCTCACCGCAAGCTTCGCCTCCCGAGTTCACTCCATTCTCCTGCCTCAGCCTACCGAGTAGCTTGGACTACAGGCTCCCGCCATCACGCCAGGCTAATTTTTTGTATTTTTAGTAGAGACGGGGTTTCACCATTTAGCCAGGATGGTCTCGATCTCCTGACCTCGTGATCTGCCCGCCTGGGTCTCCAAAGTGCTGGGATTACAGGCGTGAGCCACCGTGCCTGGCCTGTATGTTCATCTTATAATTAACAGTGTCATATTAACAATAGGTTCAAGGGTGTCACTCTTGAAGAATGTGCTCAAGGAAGCACATTCCTTTTCCGTGCTGATCTCTGGCCCCCTCCCTCTGCCTACTTCCCAAGTTGTTGGAGCATTAAATGAGACCATGAACAGGAAAGCATCTGGAACATGATCCCAAGCCCTTCTCTTTTATGTTTCTTCAAGATAGTCTAGTATTTGTCTGGGCTTTCTCCTGGTGGTTTTTTGTTTATTTGTTTTTTGTTTTTATTTTATTCCAGGGGTTTCCAAAATATGGTGCTTGAATCCCGAGAAATATGATGAATGCTCCATTGATATGCGAAATAAAAGTGAAAACTTTTCTCTATATTTATTTTAAACTTGAAATAAGTTAGCTTTTTGATTGACATATTGATTGATGTCAATATTCATTAATTATAGGAAGACATAAATATAGTGGGTAGGCATACTCAACATTTTCCTCTAAGTAATAGAAATGTTTGAAGACCACTGCTGAATTCTCACATCTCAGTAGCCATCGAATCCTCTAAATGCAATCGCATTTGTTGTTCTTACCTGCATTCTTTTGATTTAAATAGTAAATAGTTGCCCCCTGCTTTATCTTCCAAGACAGAACTTTATAAATCTTGTGGTGAAACCTCCTCTCTTCCCGCAATCTCATTTCTTGTTATCTGCATAGGACATGGCAAGCAGTAAGCCTTTTTCGTAAAATGTGACTTGCTTGTGCAAAATGATTTGTTAAGATAAAGTCAAATTGGGATCCTTCTGACTTAATCCTAGACATTTGGGAAAATGCGGATATGGGCTCTGGGTCTAGGTGATTCTGAGCTAGATGACATTAGGCAAGTTACTTAACCTGAGTCCGTGCCTCAGTCTCCTCATCTATGAAATGGAAATAATAAGAGTACTTGCTGTCATCTGATTAAGAGGGCAATTAACAGAATTAATGCCCATGACTTTATGAAAAGATGGTCAGTTGCATATTAAGCACAACAGAAGTTTGCTGCTGTCATCACTGTAATCACCATCTTCATCTTCATTCCTGGAAGAGGTGTCCTGCACACCCAGACTGATAACAACCCTGAACTGGAAGGACTATTGGCAATTTTGGATTCATTTCCTTTCTCAGCAAATATACACTGGTGGTCTTCCATGTACCAGACACTTTACAAAGTGTTGGGTGCTTCACTCTGTCGTCAGCCTCATGCTTCTATATGGTGGGATGCTAGTTCCCTTGTCACCAGCTTGTGGTCACCTTACCATGCTATAGCAGACCACTTTACAACGGGTTCAGTTTCTATGCCTATAATCAAGGTAAAGGACTTTGATGTGGCAAAATCACTAACCACTGTTGGTGCAGAATCACTAAACATTGTGGATTTCCAGCCATTTGACATTTTAAGGTACAAATAGACTTTCCCTGCATTATTAATTCCACATGTCATTGCTGAATTCTCTTTGGTTGTTCTTCCTTTGAATTGTCAGCTTTTTGTTCATAGAGTTGCACTTACATGGGCCACCTCCTGAAGATGATTCCTCTAGGTCGATTCAATGTGTATTCTGTCACATCCTACCTTATCTTCAGAAAGGGTGCATTCATTCTCTCTTTCCCAAATTGCAATTTTTTGAGTCGGCTGGACATTCTTACAGCTTAATATTCTTTTCAACAAACTGAAGCATTGGTAGAAGGATGGTGGTTCTCAATGTAATATTTTGTGTGAAACGCTAGCAAACCTAAACAATTATTTTACTATTAAACACTTCTGTATTTTTTATCTCTCTCTGAAGGAATAGTTTTTATAAAAGCTTAGCAAAATTTCCATTACATTCATTCATATTAATCTATACATACAGTCTAGAATATGTGTAGAAAAAGAAGGGGGAAACAAGACAGGAATTTCTTTCATAGTTCCTCGTTCTTATCTTTCTGCTTCTCATACACAGACTGATACAATCTTTGGGGACATCTAACTGAAGATTGAGTCTGAGAAGGTGATATACTTCCCAGATCGATGACTGATTCTCCCAGAATCCAGTGAGAGCATTGCTAATTTTTTTTTTTTTTTTTTTTTTTGAGACAATGTTTTGCTCTTGTCACCCATGTTGAAGTGCAGTGGCACGATCTCGGCTTACTGCAACCTCCACCTCCTGGGTTCAAGCAATTCTCCTACCTCAGCCTCCCAAGTACCTGGAATTACAGGCGCTCACCACGCCCAGCTAATTTTTGTATTTTTAGTCCAGACAGGGTTTCACCATGCTGGCCAGGCTGGTTTCAAACTCCTGATCTCAGGTGATCCACCTGCCTCGGCCTCACAAAGTGCTTGGATTACAGTTGTGAGTCACTGCGGCTGGCTGCTAATTTTTTAAAACACATGAATGTTCCCTAAATATTTATTTTCTTGTGAGTTGTTCTATGACCTGAAAAACCACTGTTTTATGTCATAACTTAGACATGATGAACAAAGTCAGATATTTCATTTTTCCAATATATGAGCTAAGAATAAAATCTTGGTGCTGGAATTGAACGTTGTATTCTCCAGGCAGAGGAAATGGACATTTATTGGATGTTACTGATGCTTTCCTTGCAGTAATGATATTATGAAAGCTCTTTGAGTAATATAATTTGAAAATATTATTTCTGTGTTTCAGGTCATGCAAGACAAGATAATCTGCCTTCCGAAAAGAGTGCAGCCTGCTCAGAACCACTCTTCCCTTTCGAATGTCTCTCAAGCAGTTGCCAGTACCACTCCACTGCCTCCACCTAAACCATCTCCTGCTAACCCCATCACTGTGGAGATGAAAGGCCTGAAGACAGATTTGGACCTTCAGCAGTACAGCTTTATAAACCAGATGTGTTATGAGCGAGCCCTCCACTGGTATGCCAAGTATTTCCCTTACCTTGTCCTCATCCATACCTTGGTCTTTATGCTCTGCAGTAACTTTTGGTTCAAATTCCCTGGCTCCAGCTCCAAAATAGAACATTTCATCTCCATTCTGGGGAAGTGTTTTGATTCTCCTTGGACCACACGGGCTTTATCTGAAGTGTCTGGGGAGGACTCAGAAGAAAAGGACAACAGGAAGAACAACATGAACAGGTCCAACACCACCCAATCTGGTCCAGAAGGCAGCCTGGTCAACTCTCAGTCTTTAAAGTCCATTCCTGAGAAGTTTGTGGTTGACAAATCCACTGCAGGGGCTCTGGATAAAAAGGAAGGTGAGCAGGCGAAGGCCTTATTTGAGAAGGTGAAGAAGTTCAGGCTGCATGTGGAAGAAGGTGATATTCTATATGCCATGTATGTTCGCCAGACTGTACTTAAGGTTATCAAATTCCTAATCATCATTGCATATAATAGTGCTCTGGTTTCCAAGGTCCAGTTTACAGTGGACTGTAATGTGGACATTCAGGACATGACTGGATATAAAAACTTTTCTTGCAATCATACCATGGCACACTTGTTCTCAAAACTGTCCTTTTGCTATCTGTGCTTTGTTAGTATCTATGGATTGACGTGCCTTTATACCTTATACTGGCTGTTCTACCGTTCTCTACGGGAATATTCCTTTGAGTATGTCCGACAGGAGACTGGAATTGATGATATTCCAGATGTGAAAAATGACTTTGCTTTTATGCTTCATATGATAGATCAGTATGACCCTCTCTATTCCAAGAGATTTGCAGTGTTCCTGTCTGAAGTCAGTGAAAACAAATTAAAGCAGCTGAACTTAAATAACGAATGGACTCCTGATAAACTGAGGCAGAAGCTACAGACAAATGCCCATAATCGACTGGAATTGCCCCTTATCATGCTCTCTGGCCTTCCAGACACTGTTTTTGAAATCACAGAGTTGCAATCTCTAAAACTTGAAATCATTAAGAACGTAATGATACCTGCCACCATTGCACAGCTAGACAATCTTCAAGAGCTCTCTCTGCACCAATGTTCTGTCAAAATCCACAGTGCGGCGCTCTCTTTCCTGAAGGAAAACCTCAAGGTCTTGAGTGTCAAGTTTGATGACATGAGGGAACTCCCCCCCTGGCTGTATGGGCTCCGAAATCTGGAAGAGCTATACCTAGTTGGCTCTCTAAGTCATGATATTTCCAGAAATGTCACCCTTGAGTCTCTGCGGGATCTCAAAAGCCTTAAAATTCTCTCTATCAAAAGCAATGTTTCCAAAATCCCTCAGGCAGTGGTTGATGTTTCCAGCCATCTCCAGAAGATGTGCATACATAATGATGGTACCAAGCTGGTGATGCTCAACAACTTAAAGAAGATGACCAATCTGACAGAGCTGGAGTTGGTCCACTGTGACCTGGAGCGTATTCCTCATGCTGTGTTCAGCCTACTCAGCCTCCAGGAATTGGACCTGAAGGAAAACAATCTGAAATCTATAGAAGAAATCGTTAGCTTTCAGCACTTGAGAAAGTTGACAGTGCTAAAACTGTGGCATAACAGCATCACTTACATCCCAGAGCATATAAAGAAACTCACCAGCCTGGAACGCCTGTCCTTTAGTCACAATAAGATAGAGGTGCTGCCTTCCCACCTCTTCCTATGCAACAAGATCCGATACTTGGACTTATCGTACAATGACATTCGATTTATCCCACCTGAAATCGGAGTTCTACAAAGTTTACAGTATTTTTCCATCACGTGTAATAAAGTGGAAAGCCTTCCAGATGAACTCTACTTCTGCAAGAAACTTAAAACTCTGAAGATTGGGAAAAACAGCCTATCTGTACTTTCACCGAAAATTGGAAATTTACTATTTCTTTCCTACTTAGATGTAAAAGGTAATCACTTTGAAATCCTCCCTCCTGAACTGGGTGACTGTCGGGCTCTGAAGCGAGCTGGTTTAGTTGTGGAAGATGCTCTGTTTGAAACTCTGCCTTCTGATGTCCGGGAGCAAATGAAAACAGAATAACTTATTTTTTGTTAAAGTTTGACTGAAACACGCTTCTACCAAATACAGTATGAATAATTAGGTAGTCTTAATGCCTTTCCTATTTTATTTTTTTTTTCCTTTTCACACAAAACAAAATGTACACAAAGATTGCGTAAGGAGTATGTATTTTTAATAAAAATTTAATTGTATTTTTTCAATATTAATATTTTAAAGTTTTATTTGTCTTGAAACACAATGTATCTATTATCTACTGACAGAAAGAGATGGTTCCATTTGGTTTTTTGTTTTTGTTTTTTAGTTCATTCTTGTGGAAAGGAGGGAATTATAAGTTGCATGCTTTTTGGCATTTTTTAAATAGAGGAAGATATTTTGCCAAGGCCATTTTTAACTTGTTTACACCTGTACAGGTTTCTTATTTTTGTTTTCATTGTGTGTGTATCAAGGAATCTGTGCTAGTTATTTTAATACCAGCTGCCTTCTCCATTGGCCAAGACCTTCATTCAGTGGAACTTCACATAAGTGCATTGTCATAGAGTATTTTAAATGTCCCCCTGCCTCCAACAAAACCCTAAATTGTATTATTTCATATACCTGACAGTTCATGTTATCCTTAGGCAAGGTTTTTGTGAGTGAAGAAAATAATCTTTAGTGGCTGGTATGTTTGAATTAGTCCTTTATCATTTAACTTATTTGCATTTTACCAACATTTTAAAAATATTTAAAACCTAAATACAGAGGCTCCTCCCACCTTAATCTCAATACCACTATGTAGTACTGGTGAACAACCTTGGAGAACCTAGATTTATTTTAATATTCTAGTAGGTAATTACATTTAAAAATCATAGAATTAGAAGCCTGGTTTTTGAGTAATTTAATCATCTTTCATATCTTGATATGCGGCTGCATCAGATGGAAAACAAATTTACTAAAGCACCCTGTTAAAGAGCTGGTGTGCTCCAGTGAGGCCCTCTCCTTTTCTCAGCACAGTGTGGCAGTGATAATCTATTCAAATTTTGCCTGTTGCACAAAATAATCCAGTTATATATACAGTCAGTCTTCCGTACTTGTGGGTTCTGCATCTGTGGATTCCACCAACTGTAGATGGAAAATATTCAAAAAGAAAGTCGTGTCTGTGCTGAATATGTACAGACTTTTTCCTTGTCATTATTCCCTAAACAATACAGTGTAACAACTATTTAAATAGCATTTACATTGTTTTAGGTATTATAAATTACCTAGAAATAATTTAAAGTATATGGGAGGATGTGCATAGGTTATATGCAATTTCTGCACCATTTTATATCGAGGATTTGAACATCCTCAGATTTTGGTGTCCGAAGGCATCCTGAAATCAATTCCCCATGATACTGAGGGATGACTGGATAGTAATCGATTTCCCTCAAGCCTGCCCTTGCTGTGAATACTAGTGCTACAAGCACGGGAACTCCATCTGCTCTCTGGCTTAAAATATGTATCTCATCTAAAATCATTCATTGAAGTGTGAATACATTGCTAAGTGGTTGTTGCTTAGCAATAATTTTTGCCTGACCATCAGCAGAGCTTTTATTTACCTTTGTACTTAAAATCCAACATAGCATGGGCTCTTGGGCAAAGTATTTCACTGACTATTAAGCATGTAGAACAGGAAAATGAAATACACTATTTGTGCCCTTGACCCAGAACCAGAACCATTGATTATGAGAACTTTGTTTTATGTACCAAATTCATATTGACCATTTTCTGAGCTCTGGACTGGTCATAGTAAGTTTTGTGACTTAACAATGAAAGAAAGTAGAAAGATGCTTTGGGTTTTCCAAATGTTGTTTTTTAAAATTGCTCCTTGGGTGAATTGACCCAATGCTACTTTGACTCGTATACAGAAACCAATGATGGAAATTGCTCCTCAGAAATGTGTGCCTCAGTTGTGTTTTCAACTTTACGATACATCATGGGGTGAAGCATTAGGGAAAGAGATTCTTTTGATTTGTTTAATAATCTAATTATACAGACCAAAGTGTTTTAAGTTTCTGCTCTATGTTAATGTTTTAGAATGGTGATTTTGCTGATTAATTTAGACCCGAAATTGAAATAATGTGCTCATAATAATAACATGGTTATAGTTCTTGTATGATAAAGTACTCAATTTCAGAATATTGTTGGAATCCTGAGTTTGAACAGTGTGTTGTATTTAGAAACATAGCCCTATCTGTTTTAAACAAATAATTTGTTGGCCGATTGTCCATGGTTGAGCATGACAAAAATACCTTGTTGAAAGGCAAGCTTAGGTAACTGCTGGCAAAACACCGGGTGCAGTATTTTTCTGGATAAAATTTATAGGTATTTTCTATATTACCCTTCAAAAGGGATCTCTTCAGGTTAAAAATCACGCTTATGCTGAAGTCTTTATCTGGTGTTAACTGAAAATCTCATGTGGGTTCGTAACTGAGGTCACTAATAATTCATTTTTATCACTTGTAAAAATTTGCTCAAAATTCCAAAAAATATTGATTTGGTTTTTAATGATTTTGCAAGCTGACCCCCAACCTAAGTTTTGATAACATTTAGTAAGTCAGTATAGCTCTGTGACTTCATGCTATAACTAAGAAGGAAAATTCAGATATTCCTATTAGATTTTATAAACCTTCAGAAGTCTCAAACTTAATTTTGAGTCTAAATTTTCTGACACTGGCCCTTTTTAATATTGTAAGTTTTTGTTCACTTAAGTAAAAAACATTTAATTACTATTTAGCCTTTAAATGGGAAACTCAGGTAATGAACTGCTGACTTTTCTAAAGTTCTTTAACTGATCAATTCAGTATAGAGGGATATTTATCTAATCACTTTCTGTATTTTACAAGTGCTGTTTCTAAAAAGGAATAACTAGTATAGCTCTATTTCCCCAATCTCTATAGGACTCGTGAGAAATTGCTTGTATAAATATAAAAGCACCATATGTGTTCTTAACTCCTATGGCTGCTTGAAGCTCATGATGGATAAGTCTTTTTGTCAGTTTTAATTGTTAAGTACAGAACAAACAGTTGTTTGGTGATGGCCTGGTTGAAAGAGAGCATATAAGTATATCCCAATAGAACTCACCAAAGAAGACCACACCTCAGAAACTATTGCATTTTCTTGTTATGTGTTGGGTTTGATTTGCTTTTTTTTAAATACAGCTCTTTTAATATAAAGATTCTTGATACAATGAAATCTCTTATTTCAAGTGTAAGTTTTTCTTATTCTTCACCCACCCCTCCCCCTGCCATTGTATTTCCCATCTATTTAAAGGAGTTTCAACAATATACATTGCATCGTATGCAGTAGGTACTGCTTTTTCAGAAAGACTTGGAAAACACACCTGCTATGAGTATTTTGTTCAGATGTAGCCATTTACCTGGCTCTCAAGTCGTCTTTGTGGAGAGGGTCTTAGACAAAAATCTTCCTTGTATTTACTTGGGGTAAGTGAAGTCCAAATTCTTACAGTATACTATTTCAGGATTTCTGATACTAAAAAAGAAAAAACAAAATCATTATATCTCTTATTAACACTTCCCCCAAGAAGGGTTGTGCTGTTATTTATTTTCTATTATAGGAAAAGTTCATTCTTTAAGTAGTTTCTTTTACCCTGTAATCTAATTTCATACCAAATACCTGATCAATAGAAATGATTTATTTCAACAGCAAACATTCCTAATCCATCGTTATAAAAAGTGTCAGCAGTACTTAGTAGTGAACAGATAAGGTCAATTTCAATATAATTCCACTTTGCTTTTAGAGACTAAATTAAGATTCAATTAACATTCTTCTATGAATTCTGAATGTGATAATGTGATTCAGTCACATTGTTAGTAGGATCTTAGTAACTCAGGATAGCGTTCCATACTAACCTCAAGTGAGCAAAACAAATTATCTAAACAGTTTGGTTCTTAGGAGACTGCCTAAAAGATCAAGAAAATTTTCTCATCTTTTCTTTTTACTTAGAAACATTGCAAGAAAACTTGGATAGTCTTCACCAGACCTGCCATGATTTTATAAGATTTAGGCCTCAGTGACATGCTTCTGAAAGTTTCCTGCCAGCCGTCTAAACTAAGCATCCACTCATTCCATCTTCCCAAAGTCAGTCACCGATAAAGGTAGCAGCATCCTTAAGCTCATTTTTGAAAGGTGGAGGAGGATCTCCCCCTGCCCGAAGGAATTTTTTTATCAGAATACCTTGAAAGGGGGGTATATACATTTGGAAAACTTAATTTCTTGGCTGTGTTTGATAACAGTTCCTATGCATGGTTTTTAATGTGATGGAAATTTGTTTCTTTCTTTGGAATACCTCTCTCCACCCCCAACTTTATTCTTCCTCTTTAATGAATATTTTTATTGGAGTTCAAACTCCATGCCTTATGCGCTCATTCAGTTTTCTTTTTGCCCTTTGTTTACTCTGTCTGTATGTATGTCAAATGCTGGCAAAACTGAACTGTCAAGAAAATGCTTGAAAGTTGATTTGTCATAGTGCAAACTCATGATAAAATGTCTTAATGTTATTTGGATATGTAGTACATAGAAACAGAAAAATAAAGTCATTTTTATAACTTAAAATAGAGATTTGTCCCTCTCTTACTCATTTTTAGAAATCATGTTTATCATTTGCATTTCTTAAACTATTACTAAGGCTCCCTTTTCTCTGCAGGAAATAAGCTGCATGCATTCTTTCACTTTGTGTAGAGCTAGTTTCTGTAATTGTGACTAATTATTTCCTTCCTTAATTCACTCTACTGTATCTACCTAAGGTGCCCCTGGAGTTTCATTTGGGTAATTAGTGCCTTAATATGTAATCTGGAGTGCAATTTCTATGCATTTGCCAGATCAGATTGTACAATGGCTGTCCAGCTTAGCTTTCAGTAAATAGTCTTATAGTAATGACTGTGGTTACTTAAAGGAATCGGCATGATCCTGCACAGCTAGGAGGCCTCCTCTAATTAGCCACATTCACTCCAGGCTTAGGGAAGCCCTCTACAAGGAAACTTTATGACCACTTATGCATAAGAAATGATGGGTAATTTTCAAAGTTAAATAGTCACTTTACATATTTTTATTAATAATAGTGTTTATTTTACTGATCATCAGCCCTCTGGAGAAGGATTGTTGAGATAAGGAAGGGTGGTGAGTGTGATGGGAGAGGCTATGTAAGTGTGAGTAGCAGAAATTAGAAGAGATCATGTGAGAGCTCTGGAGAAATTCTGGAGACAAGAGCTAGGGAATGCAATAGATTAGAGACATCTAGCGATTTCAGTGCAATATGCACGTACAGAAAAAACTCTGCCCGCTGCCATTCTCCACTGTCCCATCTTCTAGTCCTTTCACTTACACAGTATTGAGATAAATTCTGAAAATTTTTAAATTCGTTTAGTTATTAGTTACTATTGGCTAGCAACATAAACTTTTCATTTGGGTAGAGAAGTAAATGCATAAAAAGGAAGTTATTAAAGTTCATTTGAGACTCAGTGGAGTATTTATACTGTCAGAGCACAAGGCCCGCATATTTCTGAATGTAAGTTTGAATGTCATCCTAAATTTGCAAGTAGGAAAAAAGTGAAAGCTGTTCATTAGCTACATAATTTTGTGTGAGCATAGATATTTGAATGCAGACTATACTGTAGGTTTCACATTTAAACATATTTGAACACATTTAAGGACAAATAAAATAGTTACATGATCAGGCATATCATAAGTGATAGAATATTCTCAGAGTTTGAATATTTTGCATAAAAGATACAAGGTAGGCAATGATGTTATCAAACATGTAAACCAAATTGGCCGTTACGATTATTTTAATCCATGGATTTTTCTGTTATAAAGTTTGAGAATAAGTAGAAAATGGGCTTTTTTCAATCCTTTACAGAGTTAATTTTATTTCAACTCGAGTTACATCTAGACTTTTGCCATTAAAAAATAAATACTGTTTGGTTCAATCCTTATTAGTCTCAGGTAACAGATGTTTCAGGAAAAATGACACAAAAAGAGGCAACCTCTAAGTTTTACATTTTTTATCTCCTCCACAGTTATTCTACTCCCCAGCAGTGATGCTGATATGGCAAAAATATTGAATTGGGAAATTTCTTGGGATTTCATTGTAATTTAACATAGACTATGTGTGACAATTTTGTTAAAATCATACTCTAATATTCAGACAGCTTAAAAATCTTTCTTAGGATGATTTAGTCCAAGAACAATGAAAACCAAAACAAAAATAGGAAGATGTACTCCATATGCATTTGAGTAATAAATGTCCACAAGCTTATGAAATAATGAGTTCTGTTCATGTCTATTGAGCTGTATGTATAAATTATATCTTCATAATTTAAATTTCTTTATGAAAAGTAGTTTGTCAGAGTTGCCACTGTTAACAAAATTCTAAAAGGCCATGTACAACAATGATCTCAAAATGAAAACGAAGTTTTATTTAATGGGTACAGGGCATTTCTGTGAGCCTTTCCAACAGGAAGTCAATTTGTTCAAAATTAGAAGACCATTTTTTCTGAACTCTCCCCCCAGGTTCTAACCTCTGGTGGTGTGACTCAGACTTTCCTGGTAATCACACGTTGAGCCTTAACAATATCAGCATGCTAACAGATTTAGTAGTTTTATACATCTAGAAACAAAGACAGGATGTTGACAGCCTTAAGTGATGAAGTATTTAAAATAAATTCATACTTGTAAAATTAAAAACTAGAGATTCAGCTTTAGTCAAAACAACCCAATCTAAACATTTAACTATGTAAATATTTTCTTAAGTCCAGGTAACCTCTCAAAGAAACCAATTTCATGTCAAATGGGAAATACAAAGAATGTCAGATTAAACACCTGGTTTATATTAAATAAGGCTGTCATTTGTTGGGGGGTAAGGGGAGAGTGGAGCTTAGAAAGCAGACTCCTTGCCGGGCGCGGTGGCTCAAGCCTGTAATCCCAGCACTTTGGGAGGCCGAGACGGGCGAATCACGAGGTCAGGAGATCGAGACCATCCTGGCTGACACGGTGAAACCCCGTCTCTACTAAAAAATACAAAAAACTAGCCGGCGAGTGGCGGGGCCGCCCGTTATCCCAGCCGTACTCAGGGAAGCTGAGGCAGAGAATCGTGAACCCGGAGGCGGAGCTGCAGTGCGAGCTGAGACCCCTGGAGCCGAGGCAGGAGAATGGCGTGAACCCGGAAGCGGAGCATTGCAGTGAGCTTGAAATCCGCCACCCTGCACTCGCAGCCGCGGGCGGCTGCAGAGCGACGACTCCGTCTCAAAAAAAAAAAAAAAAAAAAGAAAGCAGAACTCCTGATAAGGAGTACTAACACCACTTTCTAAAAATTCATAGGTGAATCTGTTGGCCTTCCAAATGCTACCAAACTTAAAAATATCCAAATCTCCAAGTAACAGCAAACCAACAGGAAATTATTTTCAGGTAAACCTTTCCCCTAACTCAAGAAAACTGCTGAGTGGAACGTATTAATGCTTCATTATAAACCTGATCAAGACTTCATCGAAAAGTCAGAAAGTTAACTCAAAATCTTAACGGGAAAAACTGATAATGACATGCCCATTCCGCCGCGCCGCCTCCACCACGCTGAACCATATCTGCGTGAATTCTTAATACACTGCACCTACACTACGGTAAACAACTCTAAACAAAAGTTACATTCTGGATGTTTTCCAAATATTTAGAATCGTTTTTTTTCTTATATAATACAGGAGGAAAAAAAAATATACAAAAATGTATCCAGGATTCTACAAAATGCCTTTTAAGTAAGGCCAATAATAAAGAATATACTACTCTGTTATGTCTTTGACAGAACAGGACACGCAGAGTGTTGGATATTCATAGAAAACGCCCTTTTCCGGTGGGCCGGCCCGCGTGGCTCCCAAGCCTGTAATCCCCAGCACAACTTGGAGCCGAGACGGTGATCACAGGGTCAGACATCCGAGACCAATCCTGGCTGACACGGTGGAAAAACCCCCCGTCTCCGTCTCTACTAAAAAATACAAAACCCTAGCCGGGCGAACGTGGCGACCGCCTTGTAGTCCCAGCTAACCGGGAGGCTGAGGCCAGGGAGAATGGCGTAAACTGGGAGGTGGAAGGCTTGCTATGGACCTTGAAATCCGGCACTTGCACTCCCAGTCCTGGGAAAGACAGCGAGATTCCCGTTCTCAAAAAAAAAAAAAAAAAGAAATGCCCTTTCCGTTTTTTATTGTTTTTTTATTTTTATTATTATTATTACTTTAAGGTCTAAGGTACATGTGCAATAAACCGTGCCCAGGGTTTGTTCATAATGTATACTTGTTGCAAATGTGCTGTGCCCTGCAACCCCATCAACCTCTTCAGCACCCATCAACTCGCATTTACCATCAAGTATAACTCCCGATGCAATCCTCCTCTCCCTCTCCTCCTCCATGATAGCCCCGGGTGGTTGGATGTTCCCCTTCCTGGAGTCCAAGGTGATCTCATTGTTCAGTTCCCACCTATGAGTGAGAACTGCGGTGTTTGTTCTGTTCTGTAATAGTTTGCTAAGAATGATTGGTTTCCGAGGCCTGGCATCCATTCCACAAAGGCCACAAACTCATCCTTTTTTATGGCCTGCCATTAGGTATTCCATGGTGTATATGTGGCTACACATTTTCTCTAATCCAGTCTGTCACTGATGGACATTTGGGTGATTCAAGTCTTTGGTATTGCTGAATAGGTGCCGCCAAGTAAAATACGTGTGCATGTGTCTTTATAGCAGCCATGATTTATATCCTTGGGTAATACACCCAGTAATGGGATGGCTTGGGTCCATATGGTAACAATCTAGTTCAAGATCCTTGAGGAATTGCCCATACTGTTTCCATAATGGCCCGAACTAGTTTACAGTCCCACGCCAACAGTGTAAAATGTTTCCTATTTCTCCACATCCTCTCCAGCACCTGTTGTTTCCTGACTTTTTAATGATCGCCATTCTAACTGGTGTGAGATGGTATCTCATTGAAGAAATGCCCTTTCTATCGTCAGTTCCGTCCGTCCAAATCCAATCTAGGGCCCTGCATGTATTAAAATCCATGAGACTTTTTAAAGCGTTTTCAAGACTTATTTAGATTTTCTCTTAACACTTTCTACCTGCCCCATTATTTAGGACACTTACCATTTGGATTATGTTGTTTTAGGACTTATCATATCTTTCCTTCCAAAGTTGGAGGCCCAGTGAGTGCAGGAACCAAGACTTCTTTATCTCTGTATTTCTCTGTGGTGCTTACCATTGTGACTTGTACCCAGTTGGCTCTAAAAAAAAAACACTGAATTAATCCAAAGGCCTAACTCTGTTAACTGAGGCCCTTAGAATGTGAGGGACCATCATCTCTGTTCAAATTCACTCCTAGGTACATGAGTTTCTTAGGACTACCATGACAAAGTACCACAAACTGGGTGGCTTAAACAGAAATTTATTGCCTCAGTTCTAAAGCACGATGTTTGCAGCAGGGTTGGTTCCTTCCAAGGACTGTAAGGAAGAGTTTATGGCGTCCCTCTCTCCTCATCTTTGATAGTTTGCTGGCAATCATTGATGATCCTTGATTTGTAGA